AAATATACAGGCATGGATAAGCATTAATTAAATTTCATAAATTCGGTTTATGGTTAAGTTACATGGTTGCTGGCGTTTTTGTTTTAATAATAATTATAATAATGTATATTCTCATATAAACATATAAATTTACATGAAAATGCATGCCATTTTTTTAGGTCTGTGGGAACAATATGATAACCAGTCATTCAATGGAGCACATCATGAAATATAGGAATATTGACTTCGCATTAACAAAAAAACCCAAGTAAGTTTTGGATGGATTAAAAATACTTGGGAAAAAATAAAGCTTGAAGTTATTCCACAATATAACAAGTCATTCAATGGAGCACATCATGAAATATAGGAATATTGTCTTCGCATTAACAAAAAAACCCAAGTAAGTTTTGGATGGATTAAAAATACTTGGGAAAAAATAAAGCTTGAAGTAATTCCTCAATATAACCTGGGTGTGTACAAATCCGAATCTCATTTTTGATTTGATTTATATCCAAATTGGGTAATAAGGAAGCTATTTTTACAGATACGATCAGTTATGTTATAAGCTACAATCGTGAAGTTGTATTACAAATTGATACTTTTCCATTGGTATAAGAGTATATTTCCACAAATGTAATCCAGGTTGCGTCGTGGAGAAAGTTAATTCGTTATTAACCAGGCAACTGAAAGATACGGGACCAATAATGTTTGCAGATCATTTGTCATTGTAAATGGTCAAATATCCACATTATTCATTCTCATTCAAAAAGTCAAATGGAAGCTGAAATGGTGAGAGAAAAAAGAAGACAAACAACAGCAACGCAAAAGAAAGCAACGGGAGTCCTTAAGGAGTGATTAATAAATATATACATATATATTCTGTTTAGTAACTGTGGTTATTTTGGTACACAAACTAACTAGTCCCGTTATGCTAACTTTTATATTATGTGTGAACTAATATTACTGTCCTGTGTAGAAATGTTAATCATCTAGTTCCAATAATATTAAAATTTATAATTGTAGTTTGCTGTAACTACACGTTTAAACAACTTAAAATATCTATGTAGGGTGAAAAAGAGGGTGTAAGAGTCAGACGTATAAGTGCATTGTCATCTTTGAGCAGTCTGGTGACTGAGGAGATGAACACTGGAAGTGTGTTTGCATCGCGCACATTAGCTGGTAGTCTATTCCAAATGACTGAAAACTTATTTAAGAAGAAGTTGTACCGCACGTAAGTCTGACAGTGCTCCATAGCAGCTAGGTTGTGATGATTTCTAAGATTGTAACTGATGACAGCGGTAGGTTTAGTTATTGGCTCGGAGGAATGCAAGAGAAGATTAGTTAGCTTATAGTAAAAGATTAGGTTTAGCTTAAGGCGTCTTTTCCAGAGGGGTTCTAATCTTAGTCTTACGCATCGCTCATGGTATTCCAGACCACTTTCTAAACCAAGAGTTCTTGAGGTAAACTGCCGTTGCACTCCCTCTAATTTAAGCTTGTCATTTTGTCTTAGTCCGCTAAGAATAAACGGGCAGTATTCTAAGATAGGTCGGACACATACTTTGTATAATAAAACCCTAGTTTCACAACAAAAGAAATTGCGTGTTATGCATCCTATCAGCCTTCGCGTTTTACGTCTGGCATAATCAGTCTGTTCAGCGAACGTTAGGTTACTAGAGTATCTAATACCGAGATCTACGACTGAATTGAGCTTAGCTAGTTTTCGCCCATTTATTTCAAGGTTTAGATCAAGCTTACTGTTGCCGATACAAATCCAGCCGCATTTGTCAATGTTAAAATTTAGACAGGATTCAGCACACCACGTTGCAAGGCTACTTAGTTCAAGATGTATTTTAGTAACCATATCGCTTAATTCATGAGTGTAGCAGGAGTAGACGACTTTGAGGTCGTCAGCATATAGGAATGGTTTACCTGAGGTGAAGCACTTGCAAATGCTGTTAATGTAAACTGTGAATAAAAGTGGACCTAGGACACTACCTTGCACGACCCCACTTGAGATCTGCCTAGGATGAGACAATACAGATCCAACTTTGGTTATTTGTACCCTGTTGCTTAGAAATGATTTTAACCAGTTCAGTAATGGGTTGCGAATTCCACAAGAGTACAGCTTCTCAAAGAGAATACTGTGAGATACCATGTCAAATGCCCTAGATATATCGAAGTATAGAACAACGACTAGCTTACGTGCTTCGCGATTACTAGTGATGCAGTTGAAAAAGTCGAAGTGGCAAGTAACGCAGGATCTATTTTTGAGAAATCCGTGTTGAGACCTTGTAACAAGATCCTCCCTAATTAGGTAGTCTGACAATTGATCTTTACAACTTTCTCCATGATTCGTGAGATAACTGGGGTTATATTTATGGGTCTGTAATTGCGGACGTTTGCCCTATCACCAGATTTGTAATGTGGAATTATGAAGCTAGTTTTCCACTCACTAGGGTAAGTGCCAGTGTCCATAGATATTGAGAAGAATTTAAGAAGTAACAGGGTATATCACACCCACTGTTTTTGAAAATTATCGAAGCGAGGCCATCCGGTCCCGTACTAGTGGAAGGTTTAAGGCTTTTAATTGCTTGTACTATTAGTTGATTAGTGAACACAATGCTTTCAAGGGAAGAGATAGTAAGGGGAGCGGTTTCACCAGGCATATGTGTTTCTAAACTAAAGTTTGCAAACCAATCACTGAAAGTTCACAGATAGTGGCAGGTTCATTGTAGATTACTTTGTCGTGAAGTAAGTATGGGATTTCCCTCGCTGACTGCATTCGTTTTTTAAGAAGTGCCGTTAAGTTATAAACTTTGGAGGTACTTTCAAGTGCCGTTAACTCTTCGTCGAGGTCCTTTTGAGAACGTAGGCGCTTGATAGATTCAAGAGACTCGTGGATTGAGAGCAATAGTGATATGTCCTTAGTGGAATAGTACTGTTTCTTCAGTTTCCTTAACTTATTACGGTGTGCCCTTGGAATATATTCAGTTCGGTGTCTACTTAATTTCACTATTTTATTTGGGGCAACTGTATCTAGACAAAGGGTAACATTCCTGTAAAACAGGGTTACTAAGGCCTCCAGGGAGTCAGTGGTAAAATAGTCATCCCATTGACAGAGTCGAATAAGTTCTTGGACTAATCCCCAGTCTGTATATTTGTAACTACGACATATTGTGCTTCCTGAGTCTTGTTTGTTTCCTGTATTTAGTGGTGAGAAAGGCAGAGAGCAGAGTACCATTCTATGGTCACTACTGGAAAATCTATTACCAACATAAGTGGATACTGGGATTGTGTCATGACAAAAAACAAGGTCCAAAATGTTGTCCCCACGAGTAGGTGTCTGGACGTGTTGTTGCCATCCATAACAGTCTATAGTGGCAAGTAATTCGTCGAAGCGTTGGGGGCCGGAACTAGTTAGCCAATTGACTTCTGGAAGATTGAAGTCCCCTGCAATTATTTTGTAATTAGCACTAAACGAGGATGCGTGTGCAAACGATTTAGCTAATAACGCATCAGTTTCTTTTGTTGCGCTTGGTGCTCGATAAACACAGCCTATGAGAAGTTTGTACTTATCTCCATGTAAGACAACCCAGAGTGAGTCAGGTACATTATTCATTGTTTCATCTTCCACCTTACTGACTACAAATGAGTTATGTATATATATGAGACATCCTCCACCACGCTTGCAATCTCTGTTTGCACGGTGTACAGTGTAATCATCGATACCTATATGCACATCAAGTACTGAGGATGAGCACCATGACTCAGTAATCAGAGCTACAGTAGGCTTGGCGACTAATAATAATGTCCTTAGTTCAGATATCTTATTGATTAAGGAGCGTGCATTAATTAGCAATATCGTGAATAAGTCACGGGATACTACAAACTGGCTTAAAATGTCACCATAACCTAAATCTATTTGTGCGTCAGCACCGCAAGAATTTATGAATGAAAAGGAGGTCGGACTGGGTGTCTGCACATCGGAGTTGGTGTGCAATGAGGTGGTCCTAGGTGCCATGGGTCGTACCAGTGATTCAGGACACCTGGAAAATTTACCATGTGTTCCTGGATATAAGGGTAGTACAGGTTGGGCCTAGGTTGACGGTTAAAAGGCATAGCATCAGAAGAAGAAACCCTGTTAATCACGTCTTAAAACCGTTAATGCCCCCCTCTAGCTACGCCGGGTCTCTCGCTGTCCGTCGAAGCCTTTCAGAAACGCTTAGTACTAACGGACGTATAAACCAAAACACCAATTGGCGACTCGAGAATTCTTTATTGTAACACCAACATATGAGCAGCAGAATAACTAAAGTCTGTGAGCAGATATTACAATTATAAATCACGATACTACTTCTGACGGTTTTGTACATGCTTTCTGAACAGCGATGGACGAGACGGTGACTGGTGTATTGATGCCTCCGCGAAAATATAGGGAAGTTGGGTTTGAGCAAATAACCATGAATTGATCGTTCAATCTTCAACTAAATTGAAACACCCACTCCTGTCAGATAATGGCCACCAGAAATTCTCATCAATCGATGTGATTCTTTATGACAGCACATTGCTTAGTTTCTGATATAGCGTTTTGGGAATATGTTTGCGTTAGAAGGTAACAGTGGAATTCTGTTATCACAGTCAGTAAATAATGCCTCTACTCACCATTCATTTTGTGAACTTCTTAGTAAAATAGTGATAACATGTTGCGTACGATTTCACTAATGTTTAGTGTTCGAAAGCATTCATTCAGTCATCGATTTATTATCTGGCACCGTATTACCTGTGTTCAATTCGCAGATCTCATTAGATTCAACACTGAGGTAATTGATCGAGAAAAATACTTCAAGTCATCGGAAGATCCTTGGCTTATTGTCCTCCTCACTCGTCGAGTCTACTGGAAATTTATTGGAAATTACAGAACTTAGAACCATTTATAAGCTTGCGATAGATATCGCTGGTCAGGTAGCATGAATGAATGTATCCTGATCGTTCGCGACATCTCCTTTTTGCAATCACCTTCTGTTGAAGTTCAATCTGAGTACAAGTTGTTTTAATGCTTCGAAAATATTGGGAACCTTGTGCTGATAACAAAAGCGAGTTTTCAACAGTTCCGCTGTAACACGTAAAATTAATATATATCATATTTGCAGTATTACTGCATTTCTTTCTTCACTTCTGTATATGTGGACCTGGAAAAGTTAAATTATTTTACAGTCAAGACCACGTGACTTTGAAAAACTCATAGGAGTTCAAGTGCAATAAATTCGCATATTCGTTGAGAAAAGCCTTGAAAACATTATTAACATGATATTTCACTTTATAGTTGTCGCCTGTGCGTTGTAAGAATTTCATTGATTCACTACACAGATGATCTTTCGAGAAATCATTTCGTGATTGAATCTGAATTTGTCCCACCTTTCTCCCAGTTTACCCACTTTTCCAGCCAACACTTCACTCAATTTACCCAGGTTACAAGCAAAACAGACCACTTTTCCACAATTTGACCAATTTCCGAAGGAAAACCGCCCAGGTCCTTATTCACATATCCCAGATCCAGAAAACGTTCTCCAACTGGTTAGGTGACAGTAGGTGATGGTAGTTTGAAATATATTGATATTTATGTCAGTGTTATTTGACCTGCTCCTAACTCTGAACTTGTTTCTTAATCCTAAATTCCACCTTAATCCTGACCTTTACCTTAGACCTTAATCTTAAAAGCCATAACCCCAAACATCAGTATTGATTTACAGAAGAAGTACCTAGAGAATAAGTGGAGTACTGCATCTGCCTTCTCCAAGTCTAGAGAGGCATTCGTGATTTTACTTCATAGCATCCCCTGCATCTTGCAAGACCTTGGCCTTGGTTGTGATACTTTAACTTCGCCAATGCACATTTTACCTCGCTTCCAAGTTTTGTGCCATTACTTGTATGCTTCATTCTATCGTGTCAGTTTTGTTTAATGTGTGCTTTCTCTTGTTTTTTAGGTGACTTTGCTCCCCGTGCTCCAGTATTACTTACATCTAGGTGAAGTATGATTGCAGCCACATTCATCAAATACATTTTTGTAACTGCAAACATTCTGTATTTACTAGGAGCATTTGCTTCTTCATCAGATCTTAAAACGCATAAAGAGCTGATAGACTACCTATACAGCAAGTCCACATTATATTTTGGTTGACACATTTCTGTAGAAAGGGGTTATATAAAATCTTTGTCTGTTAAAGAAAAAATGGGTCTCGTTGATCGCCGATTTTTCGTCAACTCAAATCCATATGAAGATAGTTCACAACCGGGTGAGCATGGTGCCATTGTCGGTGCACCTCACACGGTAAGTCCAATAAAATATCTAGTTATTAATCACTATCATCATGAAAGGACACATTCTAGTTTATTACTCAACTCTTGAAGGCCTATAAACATATACAGAAGCTGCATTCCTCAAATTCATGATTTTTAGATAGATGTTTTGCTAGGTGGGAATCTTGCACTAACGTTATAAAACGTAACGTGCAAAGTTGTTAGGCTGCTTGTATGGTTGATGTCTACTGAAAAGTGAATTACAGCGCATTATAATGTGAAATATCTTTTAAATTTTGAGCTGTTTATTTCATAAAATCATTTACCACCACTGCAGTAGTATGTAGTTAGATGTCTCACTTTAATTAGGGGTAATAATAGGGTTTATGTTAGTGGTACATTATACTGGACAGTGTATTATTCATGTCAATAAACAAATTAGTTTTTCTATTCTTCAACTTGATGATTCCTAATTTCGTTACACTATACTTTGCTTAGAACAAAGGATCACTTTATAATTTATCTGTTTATCAGTATATTGGAAAACCACTAGAAGTACATATTTAGCATCAACAAACTTAGTTGATGAAGAGAACCTTACTAAATGGCTTGATGTAGTGAAGAGAAATACTACGCGAGATGTATAGTATCTCCAACAGGTCAGTCATTTTCCACGGATATATGGATCCAAAACTCTAATCTCAGCAGCTGCATTCGCATTCGGTTTCAGTCCAGTCAAACCAATTTTAGAGGTGCTACTATCTACAAAACTAATTAATATAACCATTCACAGTTTTTATAGTACCATCCGAAATGCTAACTGCACAGTAAATCACCTGATGTGAGCGTTTTTGATTCTGAGCATTGTTCACATGCTCAAGGGATAAGGCGTCTACCCGTATACATAAGAAACAACCTGGTACACTGAACTTAGGCGAATAGCGCCACTTCAGCGGCTGAATTATTGTTGTCAGGAGTTTTCTGTTGATAAAAGTTCTGCGACGTGATGATTAACAGACGTCTATATGGGGAACACATAAGCGCCTAGACGAAACTATCAACTAACTACGCTGACGCCCTCCGTCTGTTGAGTAGATGAACTTTGACAGTGCATTTATCCTCCAAACGTCCACGTAACATAGGGCAGACTGAATTAACAGCACAGGAGGTTGGATAGTAATCTATCCTAACAGAATCTGTTGTACGTGACAGTGGATCATGAGGACGTTTACGCTGTAGATCATAATGCAAAGGTCAAGGTATCGACTCCATAGGAAAGTAACTATTCCACTTGCACCACAGATAATTTTCGTGTGGAGAAACTAGGCCCATGAATATGCAAGTTTCAGATTCTTATTGTCGAGGATTTCAACGCACCACTAGTTGACTGTACATGTCTTACAACTCTGTCTTTAGAAAACTCCTTTAACCATAAGGCGGTATTGTCTCTCATCCCATTAGTTCATCAAGAAAGCTACACTTTATAATTCTTAGCAGTACCTCTCAACTGTCGACCTGGTGTTTTGCTACGGTGTAGATGAAAACCTTCATGCAACAACTTCCATCCATAGAAGAAAGAACTAATCTTGTTGTGCTCAAGTTTAGATTCACAGCTGCTGCAGTATCCCGAATCTGAGTCTAATCAACAAGTCAATTTATTAGTTCATACAATATTGTGTTATGCTTAAAAGTAAGAATTACGTATCTTCCACGATATCCTACATAGTCTAAGGCATTGTAATGACCCCATGAAATAAGGCTTTTTATGATATTTACCTTTTTACTTCTCTTTATTGTACAAGCTTCTCACGTAGTCAGAAAGAAAGATTGATTGAAAGATTGCCAACATATGTATATATGTATGCATTCCTATGTTGTGTTTTTGAAATCATGTTCTAATAGCTAAGTCTCTTATCATAAAATTTTATTTCCACTTTAATTGTACAGCATGCACGTATTCTTGAATCTCTAAAAGATCACATGACAGATGGTGCGAAAGTGTCGTGTATTTTGTGCGACACTGGATACTTATTAGCATGTATGGGACTTTTCGTAAGTCTTTGTTGATAAGACAAAATATCAAGATGTGCATTGAAACTTATTAATACAACTCACTTGTGTATGTTAATTTCAAACCCCCTATTATAGCCTGCACTGACAGCCATATGATTGCCTTTTTCTGCTATGATGTTTTTGGTATACTTAAGCACTGATTAATTTTATGCATACTTTTTCACTTTCGTCATAGTGGATACAACGAGTTACGGTGGATGTTAGGAAGACTAGTTTCCCTGAAATTTAATAAGCTCACTTAATCTTGCCTGGCTAACTGTTGTGGTTTTCCCTGAGTTTTAGAGAGTTATCAGAACTGCCGATGAGTGAGAAGCTTTTTATTTCAATTGTAATAATTAGGCATTCTGATAGTGGAATCGAATTTTTTTGCGGTTAAGATCTTTCAGTTTTGTTATATGTCACTATGCATACTGCTTCTAACTCAGGGGCTCAAGGGTCGGACGACTGAAAAGCTTTGTTTTGCTTCCTATTGACTCAGGGATGCAAGGTAATAGTATTGTGGTTTGTCATCATGAGTTTGAAGCTTTTTTGGGAGTGACAGCTGTCAGCTGGGCTGCCTCGGTTACGAGCCATAAATCCTATAGTAGTCATAGCACAAACCATGTAGGGGACTTTCTAGCGGGCTCAGCAACCGAACAAGTATTCAAATAAAAATCTAAGTTAATGAGGCTACAGTGTAACAGTATATTATAAATAATACACTAATGAGTTATATAAATTATTCCGTTACTTGGTTATACAGTTAAAGTTCACTGCTACAAATTAAATAATATAATCTACAGAAGTGTTCACCGCTGGAATCGTGTCTACTTGTACATACTGTGCACCGGTTTTGGAATAGTCTTCTGATGAGGATAAGAGGTTCCTGCAAAATCCAAAGTATACAACATGGTTAGTAGTGAAGCAAGTAGACCGTATGGATCAGTGAGAAGATGAAACGTCGAACAACACACTATTATTTTAGATTGTACTCCGAATCGCTCAAAACAAAAGTCGTGTACAATGTTTCTAATTTCAACATCGAACAAAGGAATGTACAGTCGTATTGTTACAGATTTAATAGCTATGTCGATAGTAGGAACAGGAGTTACATCATTCTCATAGCTTATTAATATGACTGCGGATGGTTTTAGATTGGTTGTCCCACAGGGTGATACTTTATTTGGGTCTCATCTCACCGAAGAGAGAGAGGGTTAAGTATGCTCTGCTCGAAGAGATCTTTTGAAAACTTTTCTTCAAATTAATGCGCATTCTCGGACATTTTACAAATCCTTGCGTAGAGATAGGTGTGTTTGATTCTCGTGAGGACCAGTGTACAACTGTCTAGTCAGTGGAAGTGTCTCATGGTGTGAATATATGGATTAATCCTGTCAGTAGCCATGTGCTTGTCTCAGAGATAAAACCCATGCATGTCTAAGTAAATACCTAAGTTCCGATGGGGGAATGGTCTACAGCCTCACCTTGTAACCTGTAGGTCCTTGGTTCATAACCTAGTGGTTGTGTGGCGGTGAAGAGTTCCAAATTAGGGCAAAACTGTTGTTGTTGCTGTTTACTACTTCGTAGTGCTGAAAAGGCGTTGTTATTTAGCTGGCATAATACTCGCTAACCACACACGTGGTCTGGGGTTCGATTCTCGACCAACGTCAACTTGCTTAGCTGGTAGCTAGGCAGGAAAAGAGGAAAGGCTGGATGTGATTGGAGATAGTAAAGCCACCCTGTTAAAAAAACAACACATGCTCTATTGAAACTTAAATACTAAAAGCTTGAACCACCTAATATTCCACACTCGGAACTCAAAAGAATACGTGCAACATCATGATGAATGCAGGTAGGCCTATTTCCCTAAAAATTGCAAACACAACAAGCCAAGTACTGTTTACCTACCAGATAAACAGTACTAATATTCATGGGTAGAATGTGTTTCAGAGAACCGTGAACTTCATATACATAATCATTGTAAACTTATCAGCTTAATTTCCATTAATCTGTTTGTTATGAAACGCATCATTTTAACCTATTACTTTAACTGCGAGTATTGAATAGTTAAGTCACTTCTTTTTGTATGGGTCAGAAACTTGACCAGCAAGTTACATGAAAAATAGGCTGCTGTAAACTTTGATCAACATTTGCCTTGGTTGACTACAAAGAACTTACAACAAGAAACTCCTCTGGCCAACGGACTAGTCATCAACCTATTGCTTAAGAAATATGTCTAAGGAAATGGATATGGATTAGGCATACTCTGTAGATACAGTCGCGTGATACTGTTCCCCCAGGTCATCGGTCAAGTGGATTCCGAGTGGGGAAAGGCAAGTTGGCTTTGGGTCTGAGGATGACATGGAGAAGATTATGTGAAAGGAAGACGAGGGGCTATATGCATTTGTGTGGCCAGTTAAAGACAACTGCTTTACTCGGAACCTATGGCAATACTAATAATTCAATGGTTGACTGATCTCAAGTATTAAAATGTATTACTACTTTTATTATTCCCTAGGGATTCAAGTGGAACATTGAACATCAAAAACACATCTCCACTTTCTTCTATTTTCTAGTGTCCTCTTCAGCTAGCCCCACAATTGCCCATAATAGCCCATCTTCGCCTCGCACGATCGCCTACATGTCACCCTAGTACGACCCACTTGTCACTTCCCATCAGGATTCCACTCGAACACTATTCTGGATTGTGCGTGATGTTATTCAATGGCCTCCTCAACGTATGCCCGATCCATCTCCATTTTCTCCTACATATTTGTCGAGCAATCGAGTCTTGGTTGGTTTGTTCCCATGGTTTCTTGTTACACATTCTTTCTGGCTGGCCATTTGATCTTCAGCATGGAGCCAGTGAAGGCAACCGTTGATAAAAGCCTGTAACTTGTTGGAAATTCTTTTCATTACACTCTAAGTATAGAAGGACACGTATGGAAGGACGGACTTTACATTGGTGTTGAAAATCCGAATTTTGTTCTTTATGCTGCAAAGTGCATAAAGATTTCCCAACTGGTTTCATTTTGATGAGGGCGTATCTTACCTTTACGATTTTGGCCTGCTTTGACATATTCCGATTGCCTGTGGTTGAAATCGTGCTTTCTAGATCAGTGACATATTGAAATATTTTTTTATCGCTTCATTTGTTTTTAAAGGTTACTGTTAAAGGTGGTGTGATAGGAGTTCAAATGGACTATGCATTGACCTTACTAAATTATGACAATTTGGGAACATGGAGTGGAAGTACTGCCGGTTTAAGACAAATTGGTTATAAAAGAGATGTACCATTCCTACTTTATACTCGTGGTAGCACAACTGAAAATGTGCCCGGTGAAGGACTTAGTGCTATTCATTATCGTGGAGATGATAAAAATACTATTGAAGTAGTAAGTTATTTAATTTAATAAGCTCTTTTTAAAATCAATCACTTCTGAAAGTTACTACCATGTTATTGTCTTTAATCATAACTGATTCATTGACACACTGAAAAGTCAACGTCAGGATTAGGAAAGTGTTGTGTTGAGTAAAATTTATCAAAAAAAAAGTAGCATAAGGTTATCTTAAGGTTATTTTGATGAAGTTGAATGCCATTCTCTAAAGCACAAATCATTTCTCAGTTGTCATTTTGGTAGATGGGGGTTGTTCATAGTTTGAACGCTTACAAATCATGCATGTGGTCGGGGCGGCTCGATTTTCAAGTCGGTACACTTCTGCCGTTAGGGTTTCGGGCAGGGAACCTTGGAAAAAGGGAGGGTTAGTTGTAGGACTCCGTAGAGGAAACACCACCGATACTAAAACTTCAAGTCATGAAGCCCCATATTTCACTGGCACTATCCTAATATTTTGCGATATTTTCTTTTTACTGAAACGACTCGATAGGAGTTACTAGAGGCTTAAGAGAGTAGCAGTCAAAGATAGCGGCTAGTTTGTGTATTTCAACCAATTACAATTTGATTTCTTCGATGCTTTATGATTTCTCTTATAGATACTCCAGACTGTAATTAATTAATAGTGTTGATACGATTCTATTCTACGATCTTGTCAGCTAGTATTAGAATAAATAAACGACGTATCAGAGTAGCAAATACCTTGTAGGACGTGTGTGGTTTTGTTCTGCGTTCTTTCTTATAAGTAACTAATTGATTTTTTGAGATGGGATTAAGACAACGCTCACAGCTAACTTAGTAGGACACCTAGACAACAAAGTCGACACGATTATTAGGCCTTGCATACCAAAGTCAGTCTGCCTAACTTGTATTATGTAGGAGAATGTCAATGGCAGTTATGATAAGTTTAAGTATAAAATCATTGTGTGATCAATCAGTCTTGTGGTCATTTTTTCTTCTCTTAGCTTAAGAACAACTTTCTCTCCGTAAATATCCTTGAGATAAGAGTTTATAGTATATTGAAATATTCCCATATCGTGAATTGAAAGCCATTTCGGATGAAGAATATTGTTTTGACTAAATCCTCTACAGGTTCTTACATTTTTAATTTAGAATGTTTTTTTCCTCTCGTTACAACAACTTTCAGCTAAGCGGAGAGTACATTTTCAAGCAGAATGATATTATCTCTTTTCTTAATATATGAATGACTCCACCTGTTTCATCATTTCACATTTTGGTGATTTTAATGATGGACTGTTCACCTGAGTTGTACTATCTCATCTTTATTGCTTACTAGTTTGTACTGGTCACTCACCTGATAGACACGTTTTATAACCTGGATCTGACTTGCCAGTTTTTCTTTACCACATTGTATGAATCTGCTGTGATTAATCACCATCATCATTCCTCAATTCGTAATATTATTAGAAGCTGAATTCAGCCCAGTACTATCGTCAAAGAAATATTATTTATTTTGTCATCTTATATAACTAATAGTCTATTATTCTACGTAAAAATGTATCCCCCAGATAAGTGGCCATTATTGTAAGGATAAGAAATACTAAATTCTATAATTTTAAGAGCCTGAAGAGGAAAATTTATTGTGAAGAACATTCTCCGTTCAAATTGACTTTTAATTCGCTCAGATAACACTCAAACTGACAGACTAATGCTATTGTTAAGATAGATTATCGATGTTATCGATGTGAAAACACGATGGTCAGAAATATTCGAAACTACAGGCTGGTAGAGATGTGGATATCAAAGTCAAGATTCGATAAGCGAGAGAGCATGAACATAGCATAATTAGTGAGAATAGGACCTTAAATATCAGTGTCAAGGCAGACAATCCTTCTCTACGGTTGCGAAACTTGGTATGTGAGTGAAGAAAAGCACTTCCAGACTACCGCTGCAAAACTTTTATCGACAGTTGCATACTTCGTTGGCTACTTAAGATCAGATGATCGGAATGGGTGAACAAGCAACACGGAACTGCAGCAACAAATCAGCCAAAAAACTCATCGCCTAACAAATATGCAAATGGAAATTGAGCTTAGAGGGACATAGATTGAGATGAATGTCGGACTAGACACTGGAATTGGACCCGAATAGGAAATGATGACTTAGATGTATTAGTGTGATACAGTGGAGATCGTTTGTAGCCAACTGAAATGGATTGCAGAGAGTAGAGTGAAATGGCGATGTGCTGCTGGCGCCCTATATTCCAGTTGGAACCCAATAAAATAACAATGATAAAATCAATAATAATAATAATTATATGAATATGAGTAATCTTGATTCTGGCTCAAACTACTCCTAGATTTACCGACTGATACAGAAATTGGAAGAGATGAGCAATGAGCAGGTATATTGAATCTACAAATGTTCTATTGGAGAAGCTCAGTTATTTCTCTGTGGGTGTTAAGTATCGAGAGGCAAATGTAATCAGTGAATTTCACTGACATTTTCATGCCATTATATATATTTATTACTTTATTTCTGTCATTATCCAATGATTTCAGTTAGGAAAACGCTTGAAACCCGGTGGCCGTCTGATTTATGAAAGAAATACTGGAAGAGGTGATCCTGAATTAATGGTAATAGATAAATTACAGAACGGTTCATTGTCTGAAAAACAATTGATTGATACTACATTGGAATCTGGTAAGAAAGAAGAAGAAGAAGACAAAGAAAGAGAAGGGGAAGAATTCGGTGGATTGGAGGATTTATTTCCACCTCGACCTGTACTCTCTGGGTGAGACTTATTATAGTGTATTAGTGTATGCTTGTTTACTTTGTCGAAACAGTCTAAGATAATAGGTTAAACGTTATTGTTCAAGGAGGGTAAACTAACATGATTTCATTAAATAGTGTCTTCAAATTTATGCGAAGTACTGAAGTGAACAAAATGAAGTGCGTAGCTGACGATACCCGCTTGTATGCAAGTCATATGGATGGTGTATTTGTGACAAGTAGAGACGTGAAAGGTGCCCATAATTTACTTCAGTGTCTCAATATAATGTACCAAAATGTTTGTTCGATATTGGGATATGAGCATGCCAATAATTTACACCTTTTCTGTTTGTTCATGAGTCCAACTAGATGTGGAACAATTGAGATGAGTACACACTGAAAAAGGACACTTAGGCTAGACGTTATTTGTGTGCCCCAGTGTCTTTCCTACAAAGCACAAAAAGTCATCAATGAAGTCATGGTTTGAGAGTACTCTTACTGCCACTTTAATTTATCTGTAAGCTTAATTTGTTCCTTTTGTGCAGAACCACTTTTGATCTTTCTTCAATCTAAGGTAAACAAGCACCTACCCTTTGGAAGTAGAATCCAATTATGCTTATGAATCCACATGTATGCGCCAAAGCAAATACATCAAAGTAGTAGAAAGATGAGTGACTTAGTGACCTTTTCAGCAATATTCCCAAAGAAATGAGACTAAACATTTTCCCATATAGTACAGTTTAAGTTATCCAACATATGATAGAATCTAGACACACAATGGAGATTTCGACTGCTAGACAATAAATTCGACCTAGTTTTAAATGCAGCGGGATATAAAAATTGCTTCTGTTAATTATCACACAATTCTTCCACATGTGAACGGATTTCTAGTTAGTCAACCTGAAAACTTGTCTTCTAACCAACAGTTTCTATTTTGGCATACTTATCTACCCACTTCAGTCGGAACATATGTGTAGTATCGTCAGGTCGCACACAATATATGTGTAGCTTTTATCCTTTACACGAGTAACTTATCCAGGGAATCCTGTTCAATGATATTTTGACAAGTTGATCAGGGAGTACTTCCTGGTTTTCAGTGATTCTCTAACTGATATCAATCCATGATCAACTCGTAAAGAAACAGAACTAATCCTTACAAACCAACTATAGAAAAATAGTATTCTGTTGTAAGCAAATTATTAAAATGTCGCATTTCGATCCTTATGGTATATTTGCATCCACTTTAATTCTACAACACTAACTTTTGCGTGCTTAATTGGAGGAGAAAAGTGTATCACAGAGTGTAGATGCATGTGCAACTTTTACCCCACACTTGGTCTTCGTATATCCTGTGAAATGTTGGATGGAATTTGCCTTTAAGTTTAATCACACATTAATATGAGTTAGAGAACCAACAGAGAGTATAAGACACCTATTTCACTCTAGTTTTAGACTCTTCAGCGGTACAAATCAACGATCACACCTGCGGTTGAACACAGGACTTTCTGGTTACAAGGCAAGCTCGTAGATCATCCAGTCATTGGGATCCAACTCAAATGCCCATATATTCTAATTTATGCCAGTTCGTGATTTTACGACAACCACCAGCCATTGTTGTTGTCAGTAAGCATTTATCTCACTCCCAACTTCGTGGTGGGTGACCTCACTTGTCACCATTTCTCACTATAACCCACTCCAGGCCACTGTGTCCTGCAACTAGTCACTAGCATCAAATGTATTGATACAAGTCAAATTCCTACAAACAAGCTCTTGAGAATATAGTTTTAATGGAAAAGGAGTATGGTGCAACGTCATAATGTAACAATAGAAGACAAAGACCAGGCAACACATCCTTTATTTAGGAAATCAACACATATTTATGGATTTTCATGTACATTATTAAAGATTATTGTAAGTAAACAAACACAGTCTTCTGATTGGTTGCTTCTCGTTCAACGTTAATCTTTCATCTCTTTGTGCCCGCTTATTGAAGTTCAGCTTATCTATGTGCAAATTGTATCCGCCTACGAAAAGTTTGCTGTGATTGACTGTTGAATCAGCCTTTGTTCTTATTTTTCTCACCACCACCACCACCACCAATATTGGGGACGTAAACATTGACGTAAATTACTGTCTACCGATTTTTGGCTAGCAGCCAGTTCTCACCACAATAATACAGTAACGAATGACAACATATTGAATGGATATGAAAGGAAATCTTGGTTCCTCGATTTAATTTGACGTCGCAATTATCATACTTCTTATTTTATTTTACTTCATTTCTTTATTGGTAGTTTCTCCTTTTTGAAATGTACTAGTACTAGTTAGAATTAACGAGTCATTGAAATTCCAGCTGGAGTGACTAAATGGTCAGTGAGCTCGTTTTTTTAACTGAAAAGTCTAAAGTTCAACCCCTGGTTGATTCGTAGGCGCCCACTGATGAAGAGTTTCAAACTAGGACGAAACAGGTATATCTACTGCTTTGAAGATTTCAATTTATCCCTTTAAACGATGGTGATTCATTATGAAATCTACATTGATAATAGTGATGGGTTTGTTTATTTTTGTTCATTCTCATTGCTGTTGTTGTTTACTGTCCTTCTTTAAAATCGAGAAATTGGTTGGTTGCTAAAATTTGTTATTTTCCCTTTTTTACCATTGTGTATGTGTATGTGTTTCTGTGTTTTAGATCACCCGATGGCGACGAGTTATTTATCCCATCGTCACAAATTAAGTATATTCCAGACATCAAAGTAGTACTCCTGTTGGTCTCAGTTGTTATCATCTCATGTATCCTACTGTTTTAATTTTATGATGAATGAGTAGTGACTGGAACACTGGATTCCATTCTGCTGACATCATATGTGATATTTTTCGTAACTGGAGATGTATGAACTTTGTGTATAGTGTTCTGATCGTGATCATTGTTATTCAATTCGATTGAATAACTTTTATTTAACGATTTTTTGTTCCAAGATCCATCATCATTACCATCATCGTTATTTTACACCTCATAACTTCGAAATTATTATAGGTATATATGGACATGTGTTATGACTATTACAATCACCTAACCAATTTGAGTTCACCAAAGTGCCTTTTTATCGTCAGTGTATATTTGTGTGTGTGTGTGTGTGCGTGTAGATGGTCGCATCAAATCGTGTAATGTACTTACAACATTCTCTAATTGTATTGTCTTTGAAAACATCCGATATATATTTTCAGTTGATGCATCTGAGTTTATTATTAACAGTATTATGGGTAATATAATTAATATTATTATGTATTATTGGTATAGCTATTATTATATTTCCGTTCCATGTATTGTGAATAAAGCATAATGGTTATCAAACACATCTTCATTATCATGACAACTAGCTGGCTGTACAACTGGCCCAAAGACTTTCAATTTTCTCTTTCCGCTTCACTTATTTGGGAAGTTGCATCAGCCCCAACGGGTTGATCTCTGACGAAATCTCAGCACGGATACAGAGGGTTCGTTTCGCATATGCCAGCCTACGCCGTCTCTGGCGTAGATGTGTTATCCGGCTGGCTATCGACTAAAGGGTGGGTGTACTGCTCAGCAGTCCGCTCCGTCCTTTTTTATGGCCGGCTGTGAGTGAGACCTGGCCATTGAAAGTGGAAGACATGAAAAGATTAGCTGTCTTTGATCATAGGTGCCTGCGTTCTATCTCTCGTATGAAGTGATATAATAAGGTGAGCAATATTGAGTTTAGGCGTCGAGTTCTAGGTAAGCAGGGGAAATCAATCGACGAGGTTGTGAAGTTACATCGACTGAGATGGTAAGGAGATGTGTTACGTATGCCTAGTCATCGCCTTCCTCGATGAGCAATGTTAGCTGATATAAGGTCAGGCTGAAAAAGAACTAGAGGCGGTCAAACCAAAACATGGCTTCACCAGTCAATGGAACCCACAACAGTTAGTTTAAGCCACGCAGGAAGGTATAAATTGGCTTCCTGGTTGGAGTCCTCGTGACGGAAAAAACCAGTGGTTGGAAACCATTGGTGATAATGCTCAAAATCAAACTCAGTGGCTCAGATGCATCCACTCTTTGTGACTTATGATTTCCTGTGAAATTATATTGTTCTTCGTTATTACTATTCCTTCGTCTCACACCTCTGTTTACTGTCTCTGTTATGCATTTCTTCTACTTTCTTCTCTTGCTTTGTGTGCTACACGGAGGGAGTGTGGCGACTTGAACTGCCGCACAAACGTGCAAAGTTCTATTTTGAAAACAGACAGACAGACAGTATCGATCATGGACGCCTAATCATTCGCTTCCCAGTTAGAGTTCCTTGATGTGTATTTCCAGTTCATGCATCTCGCCTTACTATGGCATAACCATGGAACTATAGACAATTGACTGATGTACTGTCTATCAGTTGCCTTGTGGGTGATCCCCTTTTAACCAGCTATCTGATGTTGAGTAACAAGCGAAGTAGGCAGTTGTTCAGTAAAAGTCTGCAGTAGTTTGTTAAAAATGTTGTCAGTAATATGCCAAGCTTATAAAGCATACATACATACGCTGAGTGATATGTTATTACTACTATTATTCCTTTGAGCTCTGAGTGAAACATAGGTCTTCATCAGCACTTTTCCTTTTTCTCCTGTTCTCTTCAGTCATCTCCAGCTGGCCTCACGACTACCGATAAGCTGTCATCTCTTTTTGACACAATCTCCTCCATATCACCCTCAGATCAATGCTTAACCTATCATTTCCCACTTGAGTTACATTTTAGCGGCCGCTTGATGCGTTCAGTGTAACACAATGGTCTCTTCGGAATGTATACCATCCATTTGCAATTTCTGTGGTGTATGTCTTGAACCAGAGGTTCTTAATTGGTTCATTCTTAGAGTTTTCATAATGTTGATATTTTCTGGCTATCTCATCTGAACTCAGCGAATCCAGCTGTTAGGAATGATTTTCGTGATACGCTACATTTCTGACTCGTGTTTAATATCCGAATTTTGTTCATTATTCTGAGTGCATTAGATTTCAAAATAAATTTCAGAGCGATGAAGCTGTCTCTGACTTGCCTTTTCAATTCTGGTTTTTATATCTTCGTCATTGCTATATTTGCTTGTAGTTGAAACGATATTTCCTACATAAGTGAAGCAAGTGGCTAAAATCGCAAAGACAAGACTTGACATTCATCACTTTTAAATTATTTTTGAAATTTCATACATCCAGAAAGGAATAACGAAATTCGTATTTTAAACACCAGTGTTAATTCAGTCAGTTTGTCAAAATAATTCGGAGAATTAGTGCTTTAGAAAGAAGAGAACATGAAGTTCAGCAAAAACGGCTATCTTTTCGGCGATTTCATTTTCAAAAGCTGTACAATCGGATTTAAATACATAATTTTACATGGATATATTTCCTTGTTTGATTATACATAATAACGATAAATTATTATTACGATAATTATTTTCAACTAGATATGGTTTTTACGAGAGGCTAAGAAACAAAATTACACAGGATTAGAACGGATAACAAGTGTGTAAAAATTAGCATGGAAACAAAATTGAAATAATAATTTTCAACTTGAGATGGGAGTTAAGAGGTGTAAATATAGATTACAAGAGCCTTAGAAACACAAAAATTGCACAGGATTAAGATATACTTATAAAATGGTTAATTTTTAAACGAATTATACATGGGAACAGGAAAAGCATGGAAACAAGCTTAAAATAACTTTTTATAACTGAAAACAGAAATGGGGTGAATCGAACGAAGACTGAGGGAGTAAGGATCAGACACACAGCGAACTGGAAAATGCTCAAAAAAGAACATAGAGAACGAAAGAAGGAAATAAAAAAAGCTAAGCAGATGGAACATACCAAACTAGGTGCGTGGTATTTGTAGAGGTTGGACTAATTTCTTTTGGACACAAAGCTCCGGCTTCTTGGTGCATATTTTGTGGGCTTCTGTAGTACAGAGAAGTTGGAAACATACTGCTTTTGGTAGGTTTCTGTTGACTTCGTGAATCATTTTGAAAGAATCAGTTGAGATGTTGTGGGAGCTGTTGATCATATGTTCAATAATGGCACTTCTGATTGAGCCGGTGCTTCCTCTTTGCAGCCACGCTAGGTAATGTTCTCTATCACATTTTGAAAGGACGCGCTTACCTAGCTCCGCATGAGCAGGTGAACTAGTATATGCACAATGAATTGGCCATAATTAGTCATTGATGAAATGCATTACCAACTGGCTTCAGACTTCAATCAACAACTGCCTTTTTCTGATTCTGCATTGAAGATCAGTAGTTCAGAGAAGACTAGCGATAACGAACGAACCATGGACACTTCGTGGCGGGGCTTCGAGTATAACCCGGTTATGGGACGATAAGTTGAGGGCCAGCTGAAGACGACTGTAGACAACAGGAGAAAGTGGAAATGTCCTCCTGAAGACTTATCTTCCACTCAAAACTCGAGGGAATAACAACAATAATAGTAGAATATTTGGTAAAACTAACATTTTATCTACTAGGCATGGAAAACAATAAATCACACTGTAAATTCGTGTATTTACTATCACTATTATTACTAATTATACTTAACACTACTATTTTAGCTCGATTTTATTTCCATTTAGCATTTCTATTTTCTCTGTTTGCCTTCATCCAGTTCATCCTAATTTTTCAGTCTTACAATCAGTTACTTTAGGTTTGTTTCCATGCTCCTCCAAAACACACTTGTAATCCGTTTATAATAACCATTTTACAATTATATTCTAATCCTGTGTACTTTTTTTGTTTCTATGGCTCTCATGTGCATCGGTGGCATAGTGGTTAGGACACTCTCCGACCATGCACATGGTCCGGGGTTCGATCTCCGGCCATCGATGCACTCCTTTACCTCACTAAGCCAGAAATAATGCTGATAAAGAGGAAAGGTTGAGCATGGAACTGGCAACCCTATCCTGTAAAATAAACACTGCTACAGAAACTTCAAGCCAATAGCTTGAAGCCCTATGTTCCACTGGGGAACGTGAAGGAAAAAAATGTCTCTTATAATCTATATTCACACCTCCTAACTTACATTTCAAGTTAAAAATTCTGATTTCAATTTGTTTCCATGCTCATTTTGTGCACACCTGTAATTCGTTCTATCCCTGCGTAATTTTTGTCTCTAAGCTTCTTGTAATTCATATCAAGTTGAAAATAATTATCACCTTTTATTCGCCTTTAAATTTTATTTCTCCAGTTATCAAATATTAATTTTGCATACGTTGTAACTGTTTTCTAATCCTATGCAATCTTGTCTCTAATCCCCTTGTAATCTTTTTTCGTACGTTCAAACTTTCATATCAAAATGGAAATTATTATCACCTTCGTTACTATGTGAAATTAAACAAATAATAACTGTATCCAGGTAAACGTATGTATATAAATGCGATTGCGCAGCTGCTGCATGCCAAGTAATCCACAACGGGAAACTCAAGAAAGCCTTCGAAGTGAGGACGGGAGTGAGGCAAGACTGCCTATTATCGCCAATGATCTTCCTGATTGCAGTAGATTGGATAATGCGACAGATAACGGACAATGAGGAAACAGGCATAAAATGGACTCACACAGAAACCTTGGAGGGTTTGGACTTCGCCGATGATATATGTCTGATTTCCCACAAACTGGAAGATAAGCAAGTGAAAAGGAACAAGCTGGCAGAAGAAGCATCAAAGATAGGACTACAGGTGAACATAGATAAAACAGAGGTGATGAAGATTACTGGCCAACACCGACAGCAACAACAACAACAGACAACAATCAGCATAAATGGGAGGAACCTGAAAGAAACAACCTCCTTTACCTAGCTACCTACCTGGGAAGCGTCGTTTCAACTACAGGCCAACGGAACTGACAAGGATATCAAAGCAAGAATCGGAAAAGCAAGACAAACTTTCATTATTCTTAAGTCTGTCCGGAGGTCAACAGGACTGACTCAGCAAGAAAAATAAGATCCGGATTTTCAACTCAAATGTGAAGTCAGTGCTGCTATAGGGATCAGAGACTTGATGCGTCATGAAAAGCATCTCAAACAAACTTCAAACAAACCAGGAACCTATTGTGAAACAAATAGACAGGAAGAAATGGAAATGGATTGGCCATACTCTGAGGAAACCATCAAGTGACATCACTAGACAAGCCCCTCGAGTGGAACCCGAAAGTGAAGTGGCGAGTTGGTCGTCAGTGCAAGGGTAACTTGGAGGAGGTCATGTGAAGAGGAGATGAAAGCATGTGGGCAGACTTGGAGCGGGGTGAAAAAGTTGGCACAAAACCGAAGGCACTGGAGATGCGCAGCTGAAGCCCTATGT